CCCCAAGTCTTATACATAACTGTCCCTACTCTTGCGACATCTTTGTTGTGTGGCCTGCTGGGCACAGCGCATTCTCCTCACCAGGGCCGAGCTCCATTCATTCCTACAGAAAAGCAGTCTATTATTCATGCCAGCAGTGGAAGGCCTTTCCATAGGAATGAGTTGAAATTGTTAAAAGCATGCAAAAAAAAAAAAAAAGAAGCAATACATGGCCAGGAGATTTTCAATGAACAGGCTGTGTGGTGCCCAAGAAGGTAACACAGTAAAGATTTTAGAGTTTTTGCAATGGGGTGTGCATTTAGTGGCCGTTTTTTTTTTTTACAGTGTGTTAATGCACTGCACATGTCATATTGCACATTAACCTGTGTTGCATTAAGAGTGGGTTTGGCTTTACTTCTCTTTTGGGTGACAGGAGTACAGTTATTATGTAGACCCAAAGTCAGCATATGGTGGGCTATTGTCTGCTGTACGCTGACAGTGCAGAGCTGCACTGCAGCTGGGAAGGAACCTGACAATATTGTCAGGTTCTACATCGGCTACCTGACTCACAGCTGGTTCTGCCTCTCTAGAGCCAGAGCCAGCTGTGCTCACCCCCTCCCCTGTCAGTCCCTTGAATGACCACTGGAGGGACAGGGTGGGGAAAACAGTCAATTCAATTGATACATACAATAGAGAACAAGCTGAGAACGCACTCTAATGCGGTAAAAAAAATCATACAGGACCATTTTTTTGTAATGCATCGTACCACACTAGTGTGCATAGTGGCGAGCTACAATGCAGGTGTGCTGCCTTAGTCTCTTGAGCTGCCATTAAAAATTAATGTCACCGCAAAATAACTCATGTTACGTTATTTACCATGTTTTGCGGTAATGTGCATTACCAGGTTGCGGAGGTGCAAATGGGCACTCGAAGGAAGAGTTGTTGGGATGGAGATTTCAAGGATAAGTGCAATAAATTTACAGCTATCCTTTAAAGCCTAACTCCAGCAAAAGGTCTTGTACCTCTCTTTATGTTCTTATTACAGGCTATTCCTACGTTGTGAATATTTGTCCTCACCGCCTGTCTTTTTCACTAGTGCCTCAAGGATGGGAAGGGACAAGTAATCTTCCCAACAGAAAACTCAGGGGCTCGTGTACATTTGTGATCAGGGCTAAGAGTTACGTACACACTAAACTCTGACCAGACAATCTTTGTAGAATCAACTTTAGATATACAAAAACTATGTAAACTGAGCAGCTACCTATCAATTTGTATCCAGTTAGGCAGGCCCTTGCACTTCATCGTTTTTGGCAGATCTAAAGTAGATTGCAAATAGATTGTCAGGTGTGTGATATTAGAACTAAACTGCATTCAGCATGCCCTTAGTGGCACTGCATTGGTAATGTTTATACAAGATCCTATCATGTTTCATCTTCATGCAACATTCACTGACATACAATGCTCATGGACACAGCAGGCAAGCTGCCTGTAAGGTTTAATTAACCCTACAAAGTGCATCAGACAATCTTGGTTTGAAGTGCACCAGATGAAGCTTGATGCTGACGGAGCTCAAATGCTCCCTGAATGCCCATATACAAGAATCATTAATGTGAGGACTCAGAACCATTTCCAGCTGGATCACTAACTATATATCCTGATAAAAGTTTATTTCTTATTGTAACAGTGCTCTGGGTCGCAGCTACTATTTCTAAAACCAAACCCATTGTTCTTCTATGTCATTACTTATATATCTCTCCATTGTATGTATCCAGTATAAAAAGACAGGCAGGCTTCTGTTGGGTGTGTTTGCCATGTGGGAGCATGTCCCTTTGCTGACACAGCAGTGACCTTTTGGGGTGTGATTAAGTAAATATTTAAATGTCAATAAAATAAGAGTTAAACCTCACTCTATACACGAATCACTTCTAAACCTTTCCAAAATCTCAGTATGATTTTATTCCACTTATGTAATGATAGTATTTACAATGTAAATTCCTTTTTGTCATACAACATACCTTTTATTTATATTTTTCTCCACATTTAAATAACAAAGCTGTCCAGAAAATAGTGACAGGGGCTGGGCCAAACTGTAGCACTGCTAGGGGTGCTAAGGTCGTTTCTTAGTTTTGGCTAGAGTGGAGAAGGATTCGAACCCCTGCCAGGTTTTACCGCTATCTGGGGCTCCACTAGAGACTTACCTTCACTTCCTGTCCTGCTACTAACGCTTTACCAGACAGGAAAGGAGCAGAACTCTACAACATAAATACAGACAGACAAAAATGCTTTTCTTTAGTAGAATAGAGGAGGGCTTAGATTTTTGGCTTTGTCTGTGTCCCTTCTGCAGCTTTCCCTCACTTTCTGTCTGGTAAAACATTGTTAGCAGGAGAGGAATTCAAGGTAAATTTCTCTGATGGAGACCCAAACAGCAGTAAAAGCCGGACAGAAGTTCTAATCCCCGCTCTATACACTTAAAAGTAGATTTAAACCATTTGAATAAAAGGTAACCACTGTGTGTCTGACAATATTATGGTTTGACCCAACTGCTGTTGCTTTCTCAATTGCAGGACTGCTTTGTCTGTGGGTAGAGAGAAATGGAAATGAAGGCACCTTAAATAAAAATCCAGTTCAATAACTGAACACCATCATTATATGAACAAATCAGAAATGGTTGTCAGAATACAGTATTTTTCACTATAGCTGGCTTGTAAGTAGCTTAAAAGCACAGATTGTCCAGTTTAATGAGGATGACAATCCTGGTTCCACCAACCATGCCTACTAACTAGAAGGTCATTATATATGGTCATTATTGGTTCAGGTAAAAGGTCTGCCTACCTCCTGTGATACTTTAAGCTTTAACCAAAATGATCCCATGCACATTAAGGCTACTTTCACACTAGGTGCAATTAAACGCGTTCTAAAATGGTCTTCTGAACACCCACATTGTGTGTGTATGTGTGTGTGTGTGTGTGTGTGTTTGATGTTTTATATATATATATAGGATTTCCAATGGATCGATTCACACCTCGCGTTAAAATGGTTTTATCTGCAGTCAGTTTAGCTACATTTAAAAAAACATAGAAGACAGGTGCGTCAAGGAATTGATTTGGATCTTCTAACCACACCAAAACACATGCAAACGCACATAAACGCGTGTCAACACAAGATGCATTTATTTGCAGAAATGTCACTGGCTACTCCGATGGACTACTTTAATAGACAAAGGACAGATTCATATGCGTGTAAACACACATCATTTTAAGCATCTAGAAGCATAAACAATGCATCTAGCCTGACAGATTTTGCAGACAGATTATTATTATGATGATGATTATACAGGATTTATATAGCACCAACAGTTTGCACAACGCTTTACAATATAAAGAGGACATTACAGTTACAATACAAGTCAAGACAAAATGGTAAGGAGACAAAATGGTAATGAGAGCTTACAATCTCTGCATACAGATCTCTGCATACAAACACAAGCGGCAAGTGTGAATGAAGCCTAATTCAGTGAAAGCGCAAGTCAAACCAGATCAATACT